AGCGTCGTGCCTGTCAGAGCAACTGATTGTCTTTTACAGCCTTCCATATGTGTTCCCCAAAGCCCTCGAACACAAGTTCTCCATTGGCTGAGCACTTGCCATCTATAATAGTAAAAAAAAATTAACAAATTAAGTAGGAGCAGTATGTAATATAAGGCACAAAAGTAAAATCACAACAATGTAGAAGAAAAAACGTGAAACATATATTGACCACTTCTAAATTCAGCAAAATTAAGCATTACAACTGAACTGTGAGAAACAAAAGTAAAACGAAGATGCAAAAATTAATCATCTAAATATACATACCATTTTTTAGTCCATTTCATTAGATGATGTTATGGTATGGCTCATATACCATATCGGGACAGACGCTGGATCGAAGCGGAGCAGAGCGGAGCGGAAGAATCTGTCCAAATTGGGAAGTTACGTGGGTTGGGGTGGGGGGCCAAGGCACTCGCCGCTCTGCTCCCGAGGACGTAGGCATCTTTGCCGAACCTCGTTAAATCTCTGTGTTCTTCTGGATTTGTGTCGATTACTGTTTTCTTCGCCCTAATTTTCTCAACAAGTGGTATCAGAGACAGGTTCAAGTCGGAGAATAGATCGGCGTAGGGACGAAGGAGGATTCGTCATTTTAGCAGACAAGTTCTGCGACGGAGGAAGAGCAGGTTGCGAGGAGTTTCACGACCGGGCAGCCACGTAGGAACAGGCAGACAGGCGAAGCAGATCATTCCGGGGGGGAAGATCGGGCTTCGAAGGAGGAGAAATTCCGAGGCAGACCAGGCGAGACAGGTTTCGGCGACAGGGAGGATTGTCGTGCGAAGGCGGCTTCAGCGGCGGAAGGAGTTCGCAGGTTGAACGCGATAGAGGCGGAGGCTTGCTTTCGGCGTTGCAGCAGGAAGGGATCGGCGGAGGTCACAAAGGGAAAGGAGCGGAGGAGGAGGAATCAAAGAATTTTGGCTCCAAAATATTCCATTTTTGGCTCCGCTGAAGACTGCTGCAAAGGAGCAAGGGATTCGGCTGCACTTCCATTTTTGGCTCCGCTGAAGGCTGCGCAAGGCTGCTGCATAATTGGAAACGGAGCAGGAAGGCAGCAGCGGAAAGGAAGGAGCGGAGGAGTAATTAAAGAAATTTCCCTCCATTATTACCTTCCGGTAAAGGCTGCGCGCAGAGGAGTAATTCGGAAACGAATTTGGAGTTTCTTCCTGGAAAGGAAAGTTTTAAAAAAATTATGTTTATTAAAAACATTTAATTAAGGAAAACTTAATTAAAGAAATTTAATTAAGTAAAATTCCTTAATTAAGGAAAAATATTTTCTTTTCAAAAAAAAAAATCTGAGCAAGGATTTTTGCAGAGGAATTTTTTGCAGAAAATTTTGTTGCAGGAATAATTTTCAGATGGCATTTTCTGGTGCAAAATTCGAGGTGGTGAAGTTCGACGGAACTGGTAACTTCGGATTGTGGCAAACCAGGGTGAAAGATCTGTTGGCGCAACAGGGAATCTTGAAAGCTCT